GCCCTTGAGGTTTGCGCCCTTTCGGTTGGCGGACGCCTGCGAGTTCGCAATAAAAGTCGCATCGCCGTCGTCTTCGTTTAAAAAGTCAAGATCTTGGTGGGTATCGGGCTTCTGGGGCTTTTTCTTGGGGGGTGGCTTTGCGCCGTCATCGGAATCGCTGTCATGTTCAAAAAGGGATTTCGTGATGTCGAACTCGACCTCCGATTCTGCGGGTGAGGCAGCACGGGGAGCCATTGTTGCGGTATGCTGTGAAGTTTCGACTGATATGGAAATGCAGTGATAAGCGTTAGACCGTTTGGCTCTTCAATGGCCGGGGAATATGAAACACAGAAGGATTGGCAGTGATCAAATAATGTATCACGCAAACAAATCCTCGACTGCTCAAACTTCAGACACCTGAAGAAAAGTCGAGTCGCTTATCTCGCTGTCTTTCTGTCGCAAAAAAAAAAGTTGAGAGAATCGTAGGCGGTGAACACCGGATCAACCATCACCCGCATGCAAACTAAACAAACATAATCTATACAATTTGCGCTGAATATGGTCATAGAAACATTGTCTATTTGGAGTTTCAAAGATTTATGGAGACAAGATTGTACTATGCATCTAATATGTACCCAATATGTACCTAAATTGTGGTTCGGAATCTCTAGCAGCTACTCGATGTGCAACCCAGCTGGATGAATACACATTGGACATGTCCTTTTGAAAATTTCAAGGTAAAAGTCACTTTCCAAATCAAATTGTGGCATTTTAAGAGCAATAAATTACGACAAAAGTAAAAATAGCATCTATTGAAGTTGAGAGCAGACGACTTTAAGTAGATCCAATTTGGGAGGCGGTCTGAAATGGCAAAACACGATCCCCGCGACGCGTGCGACACGCTCCCAATTAAGTAAAATGGTGTCGAAGAGACGGCTGTACCTTGACCTTTCCCCTTCACAATCTCACACACACCATGGGTATGTACTACTCTCAATTCAATCCATTGATCTAGCCATATCTAACAATATTGTCAGACGGCAATTACAACAGTTATAGCTCCTCATTCGGCGGGGGTGGAGGATTCATGCCAGGCGAGGCGAACAGTCCCGCGGGAGGCAAGGTATACACATGATCTAGACCTGTCTTTACAATACCAACTGATATCCAACGCAGACCGGTGACCGAGACAACAAAACCCTTCGGCCCGTGACAGCGAAGCAAGTCCTCGACGCCTCGCAGCCCTTCCCCGAAGCCCCATTCCAAATCGACGGCGCCGACGTCGCCAATGTCCTCCTCATGGGCCAAATACGCAACATCAGCTCGCAGAGCACAAACGTCACATACAAGATCGACGACGGCACGGGCGAGGTCGAAGTGAAGAAATGGGTTGACTCAGCCACCGCAGACTCTATGGACACCGACGATGGCAAGGCACCCGCCGATGGAAAGACTGAGGTCGAGCTGAACGGTCACGCACGGGTCTTTGGTTCTATCAAGTCCTTTGGTAACAAGCGGTACATTGGCGCTCATTCTGTTCGGCCCTTGTCGGATATTAATGAGCTGCATACCCATCTGCTCGAGGCTACGGCTGTGCATTTGTTCTTCACTCGCGGCCCGCCTGGTGGTGGTGGTGCTGCTGCTGGTGCCAATGCTGGCGGTGTTGATGCTGTTATGGGTGGTGCGGATGACTATGGTGCTGGGCAGAACAAGGCTCTTGCTTCGATGTCGTTGGTTGCGAAGAAGATTTATAACCTGCTCAAGACGGAGCCTCAGGACGATACGGGCCTACACATGCAGGTCATTGCTTCTAAATTGAACATGCCTGCGTCTGAAGTGGGTAGGGCTGGTGAGGAGTTGCTTGGGGCTGGTGTGATCTTCTCTACTATGGATGAGCAGACGTGGGCTATTCTGGAATACTAGGGATGAGTGGTTGTGTCTGTATTATTCGTTAAAAGTCACATTCAGACTCCAATGATATTATGATTTGTCTTGTATAACACTTGATAGAGTCGGAACATGTAGCAAAATTGACGACAGGCTGGGGTTAAAACAAGATTGGAACATAAATCACTTGAAGCCGACGCTAATGCAGAACGAGATACAAAGAACATATGCTGGAAGATTTGACCATTTTCGTCATGAACTGCATATCAAGTCGTGTGCATGCTTCTCATATACCAAGGGTGAAGTTAAGTCAACTCATTCCTCTTGATAGCTTCCTCGACCGAGCGATTCCAATTAGCTCGGCTGATAAAGGTGGCCTCGATGAGGGAAACAAGGCCAAGTGCAAGCGCAACCCCAGTCCACAAGCCCATAACACCCCAACCCAAAGCAAAGGTCGTTCCCATACTAAGTGGCATGGCAATGACATAGTAACAAAAGAGTTGGATATAGCCGCCCACCTCCTGGCGACCCAGACCACGGAGAATACCGTTGCAGTTTGCCGAGAGAGCGTCGAAAAGCTGGAAGGCTGCGCAGAGCGGAAGCACCTGCGCTACAATTTCGACGACTTCGGGATCGGAGCTGAACAACCTGGGGATATACGACCGCAAAGTCGAGAGAAGGACCATGTTGAACACGCCAACGATGGCTGCTCCGAAGAAGCTCACTTTCGCAGAGGTCTTTGCGGCATCGACCAAGGTAGCCCCAATCAGATTTGCTATCCGCGTGCTACCCGCAATAGAGAGGGGGAACGGAATCTGCCATGTAATGCTGGAGATTGTTGCAAGAATAGACTGCGCTGCGAGTGCGGATGTGCCGAGGTAGCTTGATGCCAGCGTCAGAATTTCAAATGCCAGACACTCTGCCTCGACCATGATCAGCCCTGGGAGGGCGAGACGGATCATTGGGCCCCAGTTCTGGAATGCTCGTCTGGTGAATCCGCACCAACACTCGGATCCCACGAAGAAATAAACATAGATGAACAGGCAAAGCGGGAGGATATTTTCGGTTATTACGACGGCGATTGGCGCCCCAATGAAGCCCCATTGAAGTTTCTTTTATACAAGTCAGTATTGTCCTCGCAACAGACTGGAAAGTACCTACCCAGACGAAGAACCAGTTCATGAACGCATTCAGTGGCGCGCAGAAAATGAGGACATATAGGGAGGCAGAAAATACACCTTGGGCCTGGAGATATCGCTTGCCACTCTCGAAGAGAGCGAATCCCGGGGTGCCCAAGAGAGCAACCTTCAAATACAGACCCGCCATCTGGGCGACCTCCTTCTCTGGCACAATCTTGGCAAGGATATGCTCAGAGAAATACCAGAGAAACATGATCGGAATGGTGATAAGCCAAAGGAAGTACACCATACGCAGCATCTGCAGACCCACCAACTGCCTCTTTCCAGAGCCGTAGGCCTGCGCACAGAGGGTATCCAAACTAGTTGACAGACCCGAGTACACCGCATTTCCAGTAATTGTCACAGTCATACTCGCCAGACTGACAGCTCCAAGCTCTTCCTTCCCCAGATGGCCAATGGTAAAGATACTAGCCACAGTCAAAGAATACTGCAGTAAGAAAGTGACCATGAGCGGCAAAGAGTATTTCATAATGACCTTTGCTTCGCGCTGCCATGTCGTCTGGATCAAACCGGCTGCGACGGCCTCTCCCCATTTCCGGTCAATCTCCTCCGAGTCCAATCCACTGTCCTCGGCATCGGAAGTCCGCTCTCTTAGAAGAGCAGTGATTTCGCTTGCCGCGTCCGACTCGGTATTACTGCTTCTCGAGCGTCGAGAAGCTCCACTTGGCCGTCGAGACCGAGATCCTTGGCCGATAATATTGTTGTCACTCAGTAGCTGCCGTTCCTCTCCGATGACTTGATCGCGCTCGCTTTGAGAAATGGCTTGCTGTTCCCCCGCCCAAGGGACCACAGTCGCATGGCTGACAGATGTGACATAACTCGGGCGGCGATATGAACCGGCTAAAGAGCGGGGGTTGGTGCTGGTATAGCTGCCGATCCGGCGGGCTGTTGAAGTGTCGGAATCTTCATCGGTGGGTGTTCGATCCTCCTCGCTGTAGTCTGCGAGGTCGCGTGCAATTGCTGAGGCGGCAATGGGCGAGCTGGATGTGAAGGACCGACCAAATGGGCTTTGATACTCGGCGGAATCCACCGAGCGGATGTTGCGGGCCATGATAAGATGTGAGAGACGAGTCTATGGGTGTTTTACGGCCACCGCATTATTTACAGCCAGACAATTCAGCTATCTCGGGTTGAGACTCTAGATCCTTGGAGCTTTGGAGATATCGAAGGTAAAAAGCCTGCAGAGAAAAAGACGGGTCTAAAGCTGGATGCGGAGATGTATTTGTAATACCAGCAATACGACTGGTCCAGGTGCAAACACTTTGTATATCGTGTAATTTACCGAAACAGCCCCCGAGATGATAATGCAGATAACATTTCAGTAAGGGATGTGAGTCAACCGCCGGGGGAAGGACAATTCAGCGTGTGATTGGCTGTCACTATCACATTCAAGGTTCTTCTTTACTCAATTCAGTGCCCGAAGACGACGCTAACTAAAACATAATCGCTTCTTAATTAACCCCGCTAGCACTCAGTGGGAAGCTCGATGCGGGCAGTGTCGCCGTGATTTCACTTGATATGGCCACCCCCACTATGTTGTACCGGACATGAACTCGCATGGCTTAGTTAGCGGTAAAGGCATCTCTGTAAGGATGAGATCTCGGCCGTTTCAACAATCGCGTCGCTATGTATATAACCGAAGTGATATTACCATAAAGAACGAGCATAGATCTGCATAACAAGAACCTGACCACGATCGTCTTAGTAATGTGTGAACGCTGGGGCTGTCGATCCTTAGACCTGATCGTACATCCATACTCCGTACTCCGTACAGCATAATCCGTACAACATAACAGATGAGCAATCAGAAACGACTGTGACATCATTCCCAAAACAGTATAGGCTATCACATGACCGGCTTTTGACCCTGTCCCCGGGTTTTCTCCAGACTTCGGGGATGACCGAGCGCGTATCAACCCTCTCACCATGTCACTAATGGTGACACAAGTCGGGGTTGGTCGTGCTCGCTTCAACCCTTTGGTCAACCCGGTAAATTCGAAGCCGGTCCTCGTGGAAGAGTAAGTCCCAAACTGTCCAAGGAATCACCAGACGAGCGCGAAAAGGCTGGAGAGCAGAACAATGGCTTGGTCCCTTACATGACCCTGTACTTCAAATTAAACCCTGGCATGCTCCATGAAAGCCATGATTGCCATGATTTACACACGCCCCACCCCACATTCTCCCGTAGTGACAGGCCAGTCCGGTTGACAATTCTAAAGACACATCGAGTCCCAACACCACATCTTCCTCTCACGCCCTTACCTCGGCGCACTCCTATTCGAAAACAGCTCTTCCGACGCCCGCGACCACTGCGCCAACGAGCGCACTTTCCTTTCATGGCTCCGTCTGTCCATGTACCTGGCGATCGTGTCCATGGCCATCATCATCTCCTTTCATTTCCGCGATCAACCCACCGGCCTAGAGAGACGCATGGCCTTACCGCTCGGGATCATCTTTTGGATTTTGAGCTTGACCTGTTTGGCTAATGGGTTTGCGAATTACTCGCGCACGGTCAGGAAGTACGCGCGCAAGGCGGCTTTGGTGCAGAGTGGTTGGAAAACGCAGGTTGTCTTTACGGTCGTTGGGACGGTCATTCTGGGCAGTTGCATTCTGTTTTTGTCCACGGATCCAGCGCGGTAATGGCCATTCTGGGGTCGGATTCGTTGATTTATTCTATTAGCGCTGGCGTTGGTATTCTTGGGCATTTTGGTTGCTTTCTACATTCATTATGGTATTATTGTATTTAATGTCCAGATCAGGTCTCAGAGACTACTGTGGTAATGCTCAAAGAAAACTCGAAAAATCTCAGAACCAAGCGTTGAATATATTGTAATTTCCTCCTAAAATAAACAGAGAGGCCAAAGATCAGATAATTATGTCGCGAGAAGCGTCTTGTGTGCAGAGGTATATTTCCATGAATCTCGTAAAGGAGGCGGGTTTGCTCCAGGGAATGCAAATGACAAAAGAAACAGCGCACAGACCGAAATGGAACCAAATTATACGATAGACTATACGTCGGGACATTTACATCCGACGGATTTCCTGCTCATTCTTGTACTTCTCCAGGGCTGGTGTACCAAGGTGGCTCCACCACTCGAAGAGCATGGAGTTGCAGATAAGCTTGAACCAGGGGGTAAATGTCAAACCGGGCTGTTCGAACATTGCCTTAAGCTCATCAGCTGAGACGTAGGTGGTGTCTCGGACCTCGTTGGGGCTGGGATCCAGATCGACATCGGCCTGGATGAAGAGGATATAGTCCACTAGCAAAATGTCAGGATTTCCATCGAATCAGATCTATACTGCATGTAACATACCCTCGTGCTCACCCCACTTTCCATCGCTGGGGGCCTTGTAGTGAATTCGGGTGAAGAATTCAAATTTGTCCAGGGGTACTTGCTCTGCCTTAATGCCCAATTCGTGGTCCAGCTTGCGCTGCGCAGCACGCTTCACACCCAGCACGGCAGCATCGAGCTCAGCTCCAGTCTCGCCGGGAATGCCAAGGGGGTGTGAGCAGCAAGTGTTGGTCCACATATCGGGGAAGGTGATCTTCTCGGTGGCGCGTTGTTGGAGCAAAAGACGCTTATTGGAGTCGAAAAGGAAAACCGAGAAGGCGCGATGAAGGAGACCCTTGTCGATGTTGGTCATTAAATGGCCTATGCAGATGCAACTGTTAGTGTTTTATCTTGCCATGTTGTGTCCACTACCCCGCCATCTGTACATTTGTGGGTGATTATAGGATGCGAAACATACAGATCTTCTTGCTGGCGCTTCCAATTGGCCGGTCATTGTTATCCAAAACAATGCAGACCTCGTCCATCAAGCGGACCTGCTCTTCATCGTATCCCTCTAGTTCGCTGCCGCGCGCAGTGTTTGTTTGGCTTATCGGGAGGACCTCACGGGCGAGGGATGTATCGACCTCAGGAAAGAGAGTGGCGACATTGTCCGCCGTGATCTCAGGCGGACTTGTGATTGTCATGGTTGCGCTCATTTTGACTGAAAAGTAAGGCTGAAAAACAAAGCTGAAAGAAAGAATGAAAATCCCAAAGAAAGAAATCGGAGGAAATGCGGTCTTGGGTCAAAGGCGGCAATGATCGGCAAATTTGCCCATCCGCAAGGTTGTTGGCCGGGGGAACTTGGGATTCCAGACAACATTCTACCAAGGACAATCTATGGCTTACACAAAGTGACTATATAAAGATCAGAAATTGCATTCAAGGCTAGACCTATCTGTGTGCGAAGGCCAAAAGCATCAGTTCACACCAAGCTATCATGGGCATCAAGATAGCCTTGATCACTTCAGTTCAAGGAGACTAGTCAACTTCTCCAATTCTGCAACTTCCTCTGGCCCCAAAAGGCCCAACTTCTCACGCCGAGTTGGCGCATTCGGGTCAAACACAGGCTTCTCCGCGAGCGAAGTCACCCGTGTCCCGTGTCTAGGCTGGGATCCCTCATAATCCCAGCTTGCGTTATGGATCGTGATGCTATTGAAAAATAAGCTTCAAATCCAAAAAGTTTCAGAGTATTGACTAACCGGTTATCCCACAATGCACTCGTGTGTGGACTCCATTTAAACCGAACCTGGATATCAGGGTTCTTCTCATAAACGTCGTATAGGTATCCCAGAATCACATCACTTTCGGCCTTGTCAAGCCCAACGATTCGGTCTGTCATCGCCCGGTTCACCCACAGTGCCTTCCAGCCTGTAGCTGGGTGAACACGGACAATAGGGTGCTCGCGCTCCACATATTGAGGCCCTGCTTCCGGGTTCTTACGATCGAGATATGGGTGAGCTGAGCGGTAGATGGCAGTCCTTCCGTCGATAAACGTGCGGAATAATGGCGACAGCTTCTCATATGCGGCGTATCCACTCGCCCAGAGGGTGTCACCCCCGACTGTCGGCACTGTGTCGTTGTGGAGATGGGTCACTCCGGCGGGCTGTCTCTCGTGTACGAGATCGCTATGCCAGCGAGAAGCTCCTCCCGGTTGACGGAAGCTCGCTGGTCTCTCTGTTGCCTGCAATGCTGGCCACATAACACTAACGCCGGGGAGGCCAGGGACTTGAGGAACTTGCGGCTAAAAGAAACACAGTTGGTGATTGGCACATGGATTCGCTGGGTTGGAAAAAACATACATGAACCTCAATCTCTCCGAACCACTCTCCTAGTTCCTTCTGTTGCTGAGGAGTAATATCCTGGTCCCGGAAGAAGACAACACTTCGTTCGGCAATCAATAAGCCTAGCTCATCCTTCTGCTGGTCTGTCAAATCCTTCAGCTGCAACCCCACGATTTCAGTTCCAATGTGCCTAGTCAAGTCAATCACTTCCTTGGCTGCGGATAGAAGTGCTTTCTTCTCGGGATCGGCTCGGCTGCCGGGGTCTACATGGACGCGATCATAGTTCCGCACGTTGTAAACATCGTCGATATAGAGAGGACGAGATGGCCGGTACGGGTAGCCGTCACTGAGATCAATCCCAGCCTTTTCTAGGCGTTCTCGTGCAGACACAGGAAGACCGAGAGTGTCCTTCTTGGGCACTACGACGTCGACGATGCGTGCATCAATTGGAGCGGGAGCCATGATGATAGATAATGTTTGGAATAGTATAAATCCTATGAGTCCTAATATCAAGCCTATATGCAGTGCTATATACTCTGTTTAGAAATGTCGACTTGCTTATTGATCAACGTTGTACAACTGGGGTTTGAGCACATCATCGTCATCAACCATCACGTCTTTTGCGGGCCACGCATGTCACTTCTAGTTATCTCCGGCTGCCATCCTCATACCCCTCTTTTAGGATTTGTAAATTGTCCAATCTATACTGCTATGTGTACTTAATGCAAGCGGGGAAGCTCCGATGTCACAATCCAATATCAAAATCACGAGTATCTCTAACATCTAACTCGCTGCCGTTTGTTCCGGGAAGCATTGCGATAGATCAGCCCATGTTGTCGTTTGGAGAGCCCATAAGTGCGCGAACAATCCACGTAGACGCGAATAGGCAAATTATCTCTTTGTTTTTCTTTTCGCTTCATAATCATGAGTGAGTCCGTTCGAGTTGCTGTTATTGGGGCTGGTATCAGTGGAGTGGTCACTGCTGGGCATCTTCTGGCTGCTGGAATTCAGGTGACGGTGTTTGAGAGGAACAATGCAACTGGTGGAGTTTGGTAAGATGGTGAATTGTCTATTCGAGCTGGAATATGGACTAAAGCATTGTAGGATTTATGATAAGCGTACTCCGATTGAAGCCCAGTACCCATCGCCAAGACCGTCCGCTTCACAGGAATATGTGAAGGATGAGAGGGAAGGGAATGAAAGAAAGGTCTTGCTTCATGCACCTCCGGGGTAGGTTTTGGATTTATGTTTCTTTTTCTTATAGCAGTCGTGCTCACTATTTACCAGGCCTTGTTACGAAAGTCTCACCAATAATGTCTCTACTCCCTTACTACGGACCAAACTCAACGCATGGCCAGAAGGAACTGCTCCTTTTGTGAAGCATAATGTGCTCAAGGAATACATCCAAGACACGTCGAAGAAGGCCGGTGTGGATGATATAACCAAGTTTGGCGCCCGAGTGACTCACGTCCATAAGGATGGACCGAAATGGACGGTTCACTGGAGCACTTTGAGCGAAGGCCAAGATCCCGCCGAGAAGGAGGAGTCTGCAGTAAGTTATCATCCCTATAAGATTTTCATTTTCAGAAGTGGTTCTGACCGGATCATAGACGTTTGACTCGGTGATTGTTGCCTCGGGTCATTACCATACGCCTCTCATCCCGAATATCCGGGGTCTACCAGAGGCAAAAGCCCAATGGCCAGAGAGGATCTTCCATTCAAAGTCTTTCCGAAGATCGGAAGGATTCAAAGGAAAGGTAGGAGTGATTGCATTCTAGTATTGAGTGGTACTGAACTGACTCAATTACAGAATGTACTTTTGCTCGGTGGAGGTGTTTCTTCTCTCGACATAGCCACTGAAATCAGTGGAACCGCACACCACGTGTATCAAAGCACTCGAAATGGTGCCTTCGATCTCCCCGAGAGTGCACTTCCAGAAAACGCCTCGAGAATCGCCGAGGTCGAAGCATTTGAACCTTCTACGTCAACATCCGCAAACACTGAGCACTTGCCCTTAACCGTACATCTCAAATCTGGGGAGACCTTGCAAGATATAGATACAATCATTCTTTGCACAGGATACCAAATGGCACTTCCATTCCTCGACGAATATAACGACTACACTTCATCTGCGGCCGAGGCAAATGATACCGTGCTCGTCACAGACGGCACTCAAGTCCACAACTTGCATCAAGACATCTTCTACATCCCAGATCCCACGCTGGCGTTTGTCGGCATTCCGTTCTACACCGCGACTTTCTCTCTATTTGAGTTCCAAGCTATCGCCGTGACAGCCTTCCTGTCTGGAGCTGCGCAGCTTCCATCTACTGCTAGTCTTCGGGCAGAGTATGAGAATCGGGTTAAAGAGAAGGGACTCGGACGGAGCTTCCATTCACTCAAGGACAAGGAGCAACCTTATGTCGAGGAATTGATCAAATGGGTTAATACTGGAAGAGCTGAGCGTGGTTTGCCTTTGATCGAGGGTCATACTGAGAGCTGGATTACAGAGAGAGAGGCTTTGACCGAG